GAGAGAGAGAGCCAAGCGTTACAGTCTATACCCTCGATACATAGACAAATTGTATGCCGCACACCGATTCATATACAAGCAATTGTCGCTATATATGTATGAACTATCTTACTAAATGCAAAGCTTGACTAATCTCTCTCTCTCTCTCTCTCTCTCTCTCTCGCTTTCGAGCACGAGCACTTTAGGTAGCTGCGAAAGCTTTTGGCAAGTATAGCGTCGCGATGCACACACATGCACGAATCGATCCTTATAGTAGACAGAGAAATACGCTCGTTCCGAAACTTGGCTATTACGCGTGCGTTTTCTTCTCATGGCGCCGCGCAACGATCGTTATCGTTATTACATCGCAGCGGAATCGAATTCGAATGGCTTATTACCTCGACGCCCGTGTTAAACACTCTCTCTCTCTCTCTCTCTCTCCCTCGCTCGAGTTTCGCAACACGTTTACGCACCTATATATAAACGTAAGCGCAAATATACCTATTATATATAAACGTGTATGTACGTGCGAACGCAAAACTTACGAGGAAAACTTCGTCGTCGTCGTCGTCGTCGTTCAATACGTAGCCCGAGGGTCTAAGCAGCCGAGAGTATACTGTATACGGCGTCGTGCTTATACCCGTGCAGGCCGCTGAGAGCATGAGTTTTAGGCTCATGCACAAGAAAAAGCCGTGCACGAGCAGCAGCGTCCCAACGCGGCGGTCGCACAGCACTTTTTGAGGAAATTGCTTCATTTCTAACTGGCTTGAAAACCTCCTAAACCTACTTTAAAAAAATATGTGACCTATGATTTCGATTGGAAATTTCCTCAGCTTTCTGATGATGTGCTCAGATTTTCCAAAAAATCTATTTTTATTCGAAAAATTAAAAAAATAAACTTTTAACATTAAAAATATATAAAAAGCGTAATTTTAAGATTTTTGATAATAGTCTAGATCGAAAGCTGAGAAAATTTTCATCTGAATACACATTTTCCAGATGGTTCATTTTATTTTTACTAGCTGAACTACATCGATGAATGTGTAAAAACGCGTTTTTACACGTTTATCGCTGTGGTTTAATAAGTAATAATTCTTTTCATACTATGAAAACCTGCATATCGATGGGAAATTTTTTCAGCTTTTGGGCTAGACTATTTTAAAAAATCTTAAAATTACGCTTTTTAATATATTTAACGTTAAAAGTTAAATTTTTTAATTTTCCGAAGAAATATAGTTTTTTCGGAAAATCTGAACACACCATCAGAAAACTGAGAAAATTTTCCATCCATGTAGCATGTTATATATATTTTTTAAGTAGGTTTAGGAGGTTTTCCAGCGTGTTAGAAAATGAGTAATTTCGACAATAAGTGCCATGCTAAGCGACCGACGCGCGATAAGCGCTGCGCTGCTCATGCCCGGCTTTTTCCTGTTCGTGGTACACGCACGGCTATTTCATGAGCACGCACGACACGAGGTGCGTGAATATTTTGTACGGCTCAATTTTGCCGTGTATAAGGTAGTCGAAGGCCTCCGCTCGCAGACTCCGGGCTCGTAAGAAATCATAATTGCATATGGTTTTTTCCGTCCGATTTTTTTTTATCATTCAGTTTCGAAGCTTATTCCTTCCGGATCGTAATCTGCTGGCGAGATTGATGGATGGAAATGGATAAGTTTCATGCGTCGAAGTATATATCCGTTGGGGCGTACCGAGGGGAAGGACGCGCATGCCCCCTCTGACGTATAAACACAGGCACACACTCATTGGTTTTAGACCCAAGTTTTATGGCTTTAGTTTGAAGTGCCACTGCACCGCCGCCACCACCCCCAGTATACGTCCGCGCGCTCTGCCTGCCTGCCTACGCCTGCGACTTTTTATGATGAAAGGCATTATTATACCTATATATTTTCGACGCGACTTTTGTGAAAGCTCAATTTCGTTTTAACGACTTATATGCCATTCAATCGTTCGTATTATTTACTTTGGCATAAAAAACGGGAGGAAAAAAATTTTTTTCATTCCGATTTTTCTTTTTTCTTTTTTCTTCTGCTTCTTCCTTTTTTTTCAATAATCACGCGAGAGGCGCTTGCATGCATATCTCTATACATAAACATAGAAGGATTCACGACGCGGGCGCGCGCGCGTTCAAAACGATAAATTTTACCGCCCGAAAAAATCCATATCGCCGTATCAGAGAAAACAAACTTCATTCGCAAAAGCGAACGTAGCTACTCTCTCTTTTTCTTCGCTAGGCGTTGCTGCTGCTGCTGCAGCTAGTGTGCGACCGTAGAATAAATACGCTTTTCGAGCAGAAAAATTTATCGCGCCCTTTTTGCCGTGCAGCGCGGGAAAAGAGGTAAAGCTAACAGAACACGAGCGCGTTCGGGCATTGAAAACACACTCGCGCACATACACACACTGGTAACTCGTGGTACACGTACTTCACGTGCTCACGACTATTACCCAACGAAAAATCGCCGTGAATTAATTATCGACATCGTTTGACCTAATAATCGTAGCATCGAAAGTGGAGCATCGAGTGTGTGACCAGAGGAAAAACAAATTTTACCTTTTATCGACATGGCTTGTTGCGTAGATGTAGCTGCGGGGGGTTTTCCAAAACCCATGGGCAATCGATATAACGCACCAGACGTACTACACTCGAATTGCCACTGATATACTGCCACTCGCACTCGCGCGCGTGTATACGTATATTACGAAAAGACTATTGATCATTCGGTTCAGTTATCGCAACGGTTGCACGTCCGTCTCTTATTCCTTTCTTTCGCGGCGAGGCGCAGAGGCATATATATATAGAGAGCTCTCAGGACCGCTAGATAGATCCATTTGTTTCGCGAGCCAATTCAACGTACGCGCGAGCATCTTCTCCGGGGTACACACATTTCAGCGACCCGATGAACGATGTATAGATATATTGCATTACATCCAAGAAGGTTGAACTACAGCTTGCTTTTGGATCAAGAGAGAAAGATTGAGAGAGAGAGAAATAAGGAAGTAAGCTCGCGTGGACGTGAATTGTTTTCCAAGTAGTATATAGGAAATATGCGATCGCGCGCGCGCGCAAGTGTACGTGGCAGTTACAGTGCAGCGCGCAGCAAAACTTCTATCTATATGAGAGAAGAAAGATCAGAAAAAAGTTCGTCAGTTGAAAAGGACACCCCAGGCTCGCAGACGCAAGGATTGGCCGTCGGCGAGCTTGCTGTTTTCAAAGCTCCTTTCTCTTCTCTTCTCTCTCACTTGGAATTTATTGCGTCGCGGATCCTGCAGCAGCAGCAGCTTTTCTCATAAGTCTCATAAGTCATCGAGTTCAACGTGTATAAAAGGGAGACACTCGTGCACAGCTCGTACACACACACACACGAGCGCGCGCGCATACAAAAGGAAGAGGAACTTGTTTATTCCTTCGTTGTGCTAGATTTTCGCGCCTCTTTGTTTACACACGTATGCAGAAGGGTCAGTCGTGGATGGCTTTCGGCACGTGTGTGTGTGTACTGCACGTGCACTCGCGCGGTGGCGAGCCGAGAAAGTGATTAACGCCGAAGTTGCTGGGCGGAACTTGGCCCGACTACTTCGACGCTGTGTGCACTGTGTGCTGCGTGTGTCTTGCCAACGACTTGAGTAAAATAAATCTTGGCATGATGGTCGACCGAGAAGCAATATTATCTTCTGATGTGGTTCTCAGAGAGCAATTAGTATCGAGAGAATTTTTGCACACCTGGAAATTGAGCTTTTTCACAGTAATTTGTCTGACGTGGAAGTGTTACCATTTAAAAATGTGTAAATTGTAATTATTAGGTGTTAAACAATACTTTTTTTTTTATAATTCATTCAATTCTTATCTGAACATCGAAGGAAGCCATTCAATATTTTCCGGTTGCGTGTACAAAAAACACAATGATGACGTATGAAGAAATTCGCGCCTTCAAAGATCTTTTAAACCATATCAAAAATTTAGAAAAATATATCTTTTATTTAAAAAATATTTTTAATAAAACTTTAAGCATATTTTAATTATGAATTTATTATGCTTGGACTCATATAAACTCATTCCCATTGACTAGATTTTAATTTTGTTTCAAAAATTGGGTAGTCGATTATAATTATTCTCATTATAGTTTAAACCTGTACAGAAGAGTGGTGAAGTAGAAAAAAAAAGTGTCCATGAAATTGAATCTATGGCATATCCATAGGTATATTAGGAGGCGAAAATGTTGATCAATTACCTCTTGGCATATTGAATTCACTTGATCTGAATTACTTTGGAAAAATGTTTTAAAACCTCGAGAACAGCCCGAGCCTCACTACGTATTTCGATAAGGAACCAATAATAATTCGCATGAAATCTTCATTGAAAATTGTTGTACCAATATTGCATTGATTGTAAAACAAATTTATGAAAATTTAATCATGATTAAAGTCAGGCTCCGCCGCTAGATGGCGAGTATTATCTAGCGGCTTTATCTTGAAATCTGCAAGTGGCAGAGTAAAAATAACTATGTATAAGAACTAAAATAAAAGCACCGGAATAATATCATTTGGGAGTAATTTTTATTACAGGAGAATTTCATTACTGTTACAGTTAGGCAGATATTTCCAAAGGTGCGAGAAATTAAAATGACAATTAAGTCTATCACAATTACTCAACTGATTCATAATATGTGGGTCATGATCATTGACTCAAATGTCTGGCATTTGAACGTATGACATTGTACTTGGACGTTCAATACGTGTAAATGTAGTGAAATTAACTATGCGGCACTTAAGTTTTAGATCAATATTGCATTTAATCACGAAATAACAATAACTTTAATGAGCAAAATTAACAATAGTGTCGCTATTTAATATTTTGGGGGAACAATTATTCTTACAGCTCTTGTATTGTAATAAAAAAATCGATTGTTAGAGAAACTATTGTCATGAACGAAAAACTGAAAATAACTTTTACATGCATTCGCTGCTCATATAATTTCGGTTTGTATAAAAGAGAGAACCGTTTGTACAAGACATTACGAATCATTTTCTAAAGTAAATCGAAAAAAAGTAATGTTAGAGGATCAGAAAACAGAAAATGAATTTTTCGATAGCCCTGAGTATCATCTCAATAAGAAATTTATGACAGTAGTTGGGGGCTGGCCATACCTAAGCCCTAAAAAAAGAAAAACTATATGGTTCGTTGTTAATACTTTCGTAGTTACTGTTTGGGTGTCAGAGGTAAACAAAGTTCGTTTTTTAAATAAGTGCAGTTGACAAATGTTTATTCAACAGTTGATACATATCATCGTCATAATCGATAGGACGAAAGAAGTAATCTACTGCTTGATGGCATTTCTCTGTACATTTTTGGCTATCTGTGGTTCGATCAATGCCGCCGTGCAACCTCGTTCGGTAAGATCACGAAAATATGCATTGCTTTGCTGACGATGAGCGCGTCACGAACTTTTGCAGAATAAACGACTGGTCGATTCTTTGAGAGACAATTGGAATAATTTACGGAGTGACGACGAGCGGAAAATTTTCGCGACCTACGCTCATTACGGCAAGATCTTGTCGAGCGTCTTGGCAGGTATGAATTTTTCATTTTAACCGCTCGATAATAAAAATTTCATTTGTAAGTTTGCTACTATTTGGTTGGAATGACCTACATCGTATCGCCACTGATACCGTCGGCGTTGCATTACCGCATCACCGGCGACTGGATCGCGCCCACAAGAAACGTCCTGGAGGTCGAGTTTTTCATCGATCCCGTCAAGTACTACTGGCAGTTGTACGTTTTGTTGGTGCATATGTGCATGGGGGTGGTTTCGTTGCTTTTGGCCAACGATACTTTTTTCTTCATGGTAGTGCTACACTGCTGCGGCATGTTCGCTGTCTTACGGTGAAAAATTTGATTTTGAAAATTTGTGCGTTGTACATTGATAGCAGCAGGTTCTAATTTCAGGTACAAAGTTGAACAAATGGACAAAGAAATCACATTTAATGGTTACAGCTACAATCAGCAGTTGGCCGTGAAAAGAATTGAGGAAATTGTAATGTACCACCTCGAGTGTCTTGAGTAAGTTTGCTTCATCGCTAAAAATTTGTTTTGTTTATTATTAATACAAGATCTTAAAACTCAGATTTGCAAATAAAATCGAGGATTTTTTCTGCATACAGTTCATAGTACAGATATTGGTCAATACGATTATCATAAGCGTGTGCGGATCGCAGGTGATATTAAATCAACGGCGTTCACCCGCGATCAAATTTTACATGATTTCTAGCCCCAATCTTTAAACTTGCAGATCATACAACTCGCTGATCAGTCTTTACGAGATTCGCTTTTGTTTGCTTTTTTGACCAGTGCGACCATCTTTCGTCTAACCTTCTTCAATGTCTGTGGACAAGGCGTGTACGATCATAGCCTTCGAGTGCACGACCAATTGTAAGAGTTGATTCTCCAAAAGTTCACACGTAATTCGAAGAAACTGTATTATTTCAGAATTCACACTACTTGGTACGAGTGTCCAATAAAAGTAAGAAAATTATTCATAATCCTTTACAACAGAAGCGCCGAGCCTTACAATCTTACAGCTGCCAAAATGATCAACCTAAATTTCGTCACTTGTACTCAGGTATCCGAAACTCGATTATTTTGCATATACAGTTTGAAGTGACAGTTTTTTATTTATTGGTAATTGTTTCAGCTACTGAAAACAGCGATGTCTTATTTCATGATGATTATTCAAACACCATAATAATAAATTCAAATTTATAAATTTTCTTTTTTTCTTTTTTTGCCATTTAAATTTATAATCTACTTCATAAGCTGCAGCTAATCAACAATTTTTGATAAAGATGTGGAATAAGAAAGGGTAACTCACTCGAGATTGCAAGAAAACATTTTCTCGAAGAACAAATGCGTTTATATATATAGTCGCGAACGATACCTTAACCGCTTGCGGAAACTGTCATGCGAAAAGCGACATCTAGGGGCAAATTTTTAAAATCAGGATCACTATGAGGAGCTATGATATCCACTGATTAAAATTGATAAAATGAGCCTATAAAAAATCGTACTTTTATCTACAATCAAATAAATCCACGAATCGGGACAGCAATGTCAATAAGATACGTAAGTAATCTTACAATATAAGCTTTTTAAGTAGCTACAATCAACATTTTTAAAATTTTTTGTGCAGCATTCGATTTAATATGTATTCACTGGTATAAAAAAACAAATGATTTCTTCATCACTGTGTGAGGAATCGTGATCACATCGAGGAGCGCGCTAGCGCTTCTATTATACTTCAATACTTCAATACTTCATTTATACTCTGATTCATTTAATTTCTAATTTGACTCGCTTTTGACTGATACATTTATACTTGGCTCTCAAAGTGCTTTGATTGCACTGAGAAGCGTCGATAGAGACTGATCCGAACGTCAGAGTTTTTCCAATTCCCCGCTAAGCGCATTCTTGTTTTTTTTTGTTTTTTCATTGCACGAGCATTTCGTGTACAAATTTACAAACTCGAGCTTTGCCAAATTTCGTTTCTGCCGAGTGGTCGAGGTTTGGCACATACACGAGACTTCAAATTTCAAGAAATTCTCATTTTTAACCCGTGTCTGTTCTTTTCATACACAGCGTGATCTCATTTTATTTTTATATCCGCCTTGTCCATCGATCGTCTCCGTTTTAGTGTATTATCGTTAATTAACGTCCAATTAAAAAACAATATATTAGCGTGCAAAATCGCTTTACGTAAAATTCGGTCGGGCTGAATTAAGATATTAAGGTCACAGTAATTTATCAAACGAGCTCTTATACCGAACGGTAAAAAGTCACTCTGGCTTTAAGAGATTCATCGAGTGATCCTTATTAGTCGACAAAAAATTCACTCACAGCCATTTGTCTACGCAGCTCTTTTAAATTTCAATTCGGCTCGCTCGTGTAATTTGCTTCTCTCCTCGTCAGAATAATCCAGCAATTAAGAATAGCAACAGTCTTAACGGCTCGAATGTAAATAAAAAAGTTGTGTCAATCAGGTACCATGACTTTGACACGCGCAGCATAATTATCCAGAGATTCGTCGATGAAATAAATTCGGCTCACACTTGTTGATCTATACATTGAGCTATACTACTTGAATCAATTTTTACACTTATCAAATGAGTTATCCACCAAATATCAAATGATCTCGTCATAGTCAAAAACACTGATATTTTCTCAAGCTTTACTTCTGCATTGCGCCCAGAGCTTGCGCACGGCCGTATTTATCCACAACATGCAAGAGTTTACACGGAGATTCTACGGATTTAAGTAGACGAACATTATGCGCGCACCAACGTGTACACGGTGCCCTGGCTGTATAAGCATATGAGCTATGAACTTCTCGCACACACACATACGCACACGTACGTATGTACTAAAAACATATGCGCGCAGCGCACCGCGAGGGATAGCAATATTTACTCGTGGGTCGACGCGCTGTTTACTTCTGGCTTGCCGGCGGCGGCAGCGGGCGGGGGAGGTAAAGCTCGTTTGACTTGGCGCGTGCAGAATGCAAATAGACGCGATGGTGCAAGCAGCGGTGGTAGTGGTAGTGGTGGTGGTGGCGCAGCTGCAAGCTGCAACATTACCTTTCTCTCTATCTCCATCTCTCTCTTCTGTCTTTCTCCCGATGATGGGGATGCATCTGTACGACGAGCGCATCCATGCACTTTGATTCTGCAAATATTTACTCCGAGCTGCTGCCACTGCTGGCTGATGCCAAGATGTTTTGCCAAATAGTCGTCGCTGTCTCGAGACCCAAAATATTCGCCCAACTATGCTTTCTCCTCCTCATTGTGCCTTACATCGCGCTTACAGCTGCGCTTGCCACCGTTATGCACGTGTAGCTATATAACGTTTGAATCGAAATTGTTACAACCCAGGGAAAAAGCTCCGCACCTAACTATTCAACTCGAGTGAGAATCCAAAGGACAAATTATATTAGCTGCGAGCGAGCTTTGGTCAAACGACAGAGGGCAAAGATTTATCCGTCGCATATATAGTGTGGTCAGAGCCTCTCTCTCTCGGTGGTACCATAAGCTCGATAAAGCAGCAGCGGCAGAGAGGCAGTTTCGAGCTTGGAATTAAGCTTTCGCCTCTTGCTAGCTTGCTTGCTCGCGCACCCGCGTGCAATTAAAACACGAGCCGTTTATATCGCACAGCCGAGCCTCGAGTCTCGGTGCGCTGCTTCTCTGCACACAAACACACAGAGGGACTGCACGCACCGTACCGCGCGCGGCCGGCCCGCTTGCTGCTCCAGAGTCGAGATCGAGGCTCGACGATGTAATGGAATTGCGCGCGCGCGTCGTTGTAGCTACATAACAGGAGCAGCAGCGGCGGCGGCAATCTAGTATTATGGGTATAACTATATATTTATATACAAGCACTGCACTCTGCGTGATCGCTATATATGTATCGTTTTCATTACGTTTCGCAACGTGTACCGTGGGAGCGCCCTTGCCTGCATAAACGCGAAACGGAGAGAGATATATATCGCGCGCCCGGCGCTGCAGCACAGTGGATTAAAGCCTTCACGCGTATACACATACACAGACGCATTATGTATCCTGCTACACGCGTATATTATATGTACGTAAAGCTCGCGCGCGGACGTACTTATATAATGCATCAAGCCAGCGGCGTTATAAACGCGTCATTATGCCGCGCGCAGCGGATAATTTGTGCGCGCCTCGCTGCGTGTTTATAAAGATAAGTCTGCGCGCTTCGCAGGTGTGTGTGTGTGGGTGTGAATGCGTGTGTATATCTGGATGGGAAAGTGAGGGAGGAGAGAATTTACGCCCATACCGAACGAAAATTGATTCTTGTACGCAACAATTTCCTACGCAGAGAGGGAGGCGCGTGTCGTACGTTACACCAGACAAATGCTGAGCGCAGCATTTAAGTTATCGCGGTACTCGAAAATTACGCAATAATAAGGTAGAGAGCAAAACAGAATTCGGTTGCAAGCTCCCCTCGAAGAATACGTTCGCAAGCTCACCTATAGCTTTACCCATATACAGATAGAGAAAATTTTACTGATGCATAATTTTTTGGAGTTTTCATACCGCGAAGCGTTGATGCGTTATAGGTGATATAAATACACGCATCGAGAACCAGCGCTCAAATAACACGCGCGCATACACACATACGCGCGTCAAAGCCACTAACGACGAGAGAATTGCGAGTTATATACTCGCGATAAAATAAAAGGTCGCAGCCAGCTCTGCACAAGTTATGCTTCGTGCTCTCTCCCTCAAAGCTGCTGTCGGGTTTGTACGCGGGTACGCGTGCGCGAAAGGTTGCGTGACACGCGCAGCTCGTTAGTTTTACCGCAACAGGCATCCTTAGCCGCTCCAACTAAATTCAGCATGTGTGTGTATGTGTGTTAATACAGCATCGTTACCATATACAGTTTTCCGCTTATAAGCGTGAGTACATGTATGTATATGTATATGCGCGCACAGAGACGCGGAAATTTTCAACGTGTGTAGTTATACTACCCACCATACGTGTGCGGGTGCGGCGCGCAGCAATCCGCGTCGAGAATGAAATTCTCGTTCTTGCGACGCGCGAGCAAGCGAACAACTGCGGCAGCAGAGAGCACGAGAGCAACTTCGCGCGGGGCAGCGCCGAGCAACACGCTTGTATTGTGTAATGTACACTTTGGGAGTATAAAGTTTTTGGTATACATGCAGACGCGAGAACGTTGTATACACTTATTATTATATGCTATATGGTTACTACTACTACTACTACTACTACTACTACTACTAATAGTACTGACCTGTGCTCCAACCTGTCCAGCTCTCAGCCTCGGTATGTCCGTGTGACTCCAGTCGGATTTCGCCCAGGGTTCAATCCTGCTCAAGTCGCTGCTGAGATTCACGTCGCCCAGTTGATTGTGTACGAACTTTCTGACATTCCAGGGCAAATCGTTGTGCCTACGAGAGAGAACGAGACGCAAGCTTTAATATTCGAGAAAGTTGACGATGAACGTGTGTATATCGCGAGCTGGCCCGATAGAAATGCTCAACGTTAATGACGGCCTGATTACCGAAAAATGACCGCTTAAAATAAAACTCGGGGATAATACTTTGATTCTTCGCCACTAGATGGCGAGTACCTTTATTTGTAAATCTACAAGTGGTAAAGTCAAAATAATTGTATATAAGGTGAATATTGAAGCATTTCATTACACGGCGTTGTTGATCTTGTACCTCAAAAATTTCATTTGTCCAAAAATAGCTATAATGTGTAGAGCATTTCTACTAAGGTATTTGTCACAACGATTTGATTGCAAAAAAAATTTCAGCCCACAGTAGGGAATTCATAAAAGGTTGCGTGGGAGTCGAAAAAAATTTAATTAAAAATCAAGGGATATTCTCGATGAATACATTTTCATCTTGTCGCTTGAAAAACAATTTTGTTGCCCCGTTCGATTTGATTGTACGTACAAAAGCAAAGATGATGAAAAAAAAAAGAAGAGAGAGAGAGTAAAGGATAAAGAGCCCGAAGATTGATTTTATAAAGCTGCTGGCACAAAAAAAATTGAAATTCTCGGCAAATTAACGCGTTGGGGGGACCCATTGTACGTTGACGCGAATCGACAGCTTTATACGTATATAGGTACACCTTATTCATCAGTCAGTTAAAAGCCCATGCGCACTTGGCTTTCTCTCTCTCTCTCGCTCTTCTCCTTCTCCGAATCAGAGAAAAGG